AGGAAACTAACACCCTAAGCCCTAATCATAATAACCACGAATTGGGCCTTAAATAAATGAATGTTCAGCCCAAAATAATATAAAAAACGTGAAAAATCACTAAAAGGAGCCTAAAGTAACATGAAATATCAGTTTGTTACAAATTGCGACAGAATTGCGAGATTGACGCAAACTGTGTAATTTAGCACAAATGACCTCAATTAAGCTTCTCTTGAACCTGAATGATGTTTATCATGCCTTGATAATCATTCAAGTTTCGATTTGCTTGTTGTATGTTGTTTTCAACCCAGATCTGCTCAATAAGGCCATTTAAAGCTTCACGCATCTTTTTAGCTCTAGCTCGCGTGACTGGACCTCCTTGGGTGTGTAATGGATCACATGACGTGGTAGATATGCTGTCGTCTTGATTCCCATCACACAAGCTGATCCCACCACACCACAGCATTATCAGTAAATTCCACAGCTGCTAGTTTCACCTTTTTCTCCTCAGAATAGTTATGGCGATCAAACACCAATTCCCCCTTCTTTTCCCACTCCAAATACACATCTGGATCATTCTTGCCTTGAAATGGAGGAATCTTCATCTTGATGCTACCAAAGTCATGATCTTGCCGATCTGATGGGAATCAAGGTGACCCCACATGTACCACATCAAGAGATCCATTACACATTCCAGGAGGTCCAATCACGAGAGCTAGAGCTAAGAAGATGCAAGAAGCTTTAAATGGCCTTACTGAGCAGATCTGGGTTGACAACAACATACAACAAGCAAATCGAAGCTTGGATGATTATCAAGGCATGGTAAACATCATTCAAGTTCAAGAGAAGCTTAGTTGTGGTCATTTGCACAGCATTACAAAGTTTGCGTCAAATCGCACAATTCTGCCGCAACTTGTAGCAAACTGATATTTCGTGTTATTTTAGGTTATTTTTAGTGATTGTCACGTTTTTTGTATTATTTTTGGGCTGAACATTCGTTTTTTTGAAGCCCAATTTGTGGTTATTAGGTTTAGGACTTAGGGTGTTAGTTTCCTATTCTGGTTAGGATTTGTTTTCTCTATTTAAAAAGACTTGTAATCCTAATGGGGAGAAGGCTATTGAATTTGAGATTTTGAGAGACTTTTCTCTTTAGTTAGTTTCAGAACTTTACAGAACCTATCAAGATTATTCTTGTGGCGTTCTAACCTAACTTATCATTCTCGTTCTTAATCGTTCAAGGGTGTGGCGTCAACCAACTTTATACCTCTGGTTCTTGTTGCGTCATAGACAACAGGTCAAGGTTTTACCTTTGGTTCTTGTTGCGACATAAACAACGGGTCAAGGTC